AATCTAACCCTAGCATAGCAGCCAGTTTTCATTATGTCACAGTTATAGTTATTATATTGGTCTCTTCAGAGCATTATAACTGACATGTACCCACACTTTTAGAAATAGACAATCATATTTAAAGACTTTGTTTTGCGTGGCTGCAGTATGAGGAAAGGATTGGCTCTGTGAACCAACTTTAAGACCAAGAAAAAGCTTCTGCCAGCTGGTAATGTTGGCAGTGGACTGAACAACTGTGCAAGCAGTAAGCAGTAATCCTACTATGGCTAGCACCCATTAACTGCCTGTTATTAAAACAGGACTACTGAGTAAACATCGCATGACAAAATTTATATTAAACAAAGCTGATATGTTTTTTTCTGATTGTTATTATGTCACTGGGCCACTTAAAATAGAAAAATAAATGGTCTAAAAGTATGGGCCTGTGTCAGTAAAACATTAGTAATTAAGTAAATAAATTGTAATATGTAAATAAGTAATCTTATTTTGATTGAAATAAAATGGTAAAAAAAAAAAGTAAATTAAAAAGTGGCTAAATATAACTAAAATGTATGGAAGCTTGTTTCCACTGACTACAGGATAAAAAAATTAAATTAAAAAAAGGCATCTGCGACTTAAAATATATATATATATATATTTTTAAAGGTAATTATTTCATCGTTGTGACATTTTCCTAATTTTTCTCATTTCTCATAGTGAGGTTTTTTTTTTTGCCTGTGATGAAAACAATAAATAAATGGTTACTTTATTTTACAGTGTAAATATACATTTAAGTACTGAATAATAGGGCTGGGTTTTGACACAAATTTCACGATTCGATTCGATTCTCATTCACAAGCTTGCGATTCGATTCGATTACCAATTCGATGCCTGTGTGCTTCGATTATTTTGGATATATATCAGGTACAGCACATGCCAAATTTTCTCAAGGAAAAAAAATCTCTCAACTAATGCTGTAAAATATACATGAGAGTCAGTTGGTACTACATTACTATAATATTGGAGGTTAACATTGACTGATTTGTTAAAATTACACTTAATTAAGTTCTTAAAATAATAAAGTTATAATTACATAATAATATTTCTATTTCAATTCGTTTTTTTAAAGGGTGTTTAGTCATGTTTATTTTGTGCTGAAACTGGTATTAATGTGGAGGAAATGATCAGTTCAAGTGCGCCTCGTGCTGCCGCGTCTGTTGATCTGAGGCTCTACAGCGATCTGTCACTCCACATTAAACAGCGCAAGAGAATCGATTAATATCGACATATCGATATTTTTTACCCAGCCCTACTGAATAATATTAATTAACTACATGTACTTACTGTATATGGTTAGAGTTAGAATGAGGGTTTGGTTTAGGGTTAGTTGCACATAATTATGCATAATTTATTTTTATTACTATAAGTACATGTAACATGTATCAGGAACAACGTAAACTAAACTAATAAAAAAATAAATAAAATGTTCACACTTTATTTTAAGGTACAATTCTTGCTATTAACAATCCATTTAAAAACGACTTTAGCCTTAATAAACTCATAATTTGCTACTTATTAATAGTTAGTTAAGGTAGTTGTTAAGTTTAGGTATTGGGTAGGATTATGGATGTAGAATATGGTCATGTAGAATAAATGTTTTATAAGTACTAATAAATAGCCAATATGTTAATAATAGGCATGCTACTAAGCAACAAGTTAATAGTGAGGATTGGTCCCTAAAGCGTTACAAATAAAATAAAATAAAATAAAATAAAATGTGTGTGCTCTTTCTCTCTAACACACACATACACACACAGTGATACTGCTGTGAAAGCCAGCTGATGCTTACAAATGTGTCGAATGTGCGCACACAGCAGTCAACGGTGAGTAAAAATGTGTATTGAGGATGTAGTTAATGATTAGCCATGTTCAGTTTCGCAGCTGTTTGTGTGTGTTAAGATCTGCCTGTGTCTAAAAGCAGGGCTAGTTGATTGATCATCTGCAGTAGTGAAAAGCAGGTTACTGCAGCAGCTAACGAAAACACACACACACGCTCGCCCTGCTCCTTTACGTTTTCCTCGTTCTCATTCTCTTCCTCTCCCCTTCCACCTCTATCCTCCATGTTCTAGTTTTGCTCCCCACCTTCTCTTCATTTCTACTTTCACTAGTTCCCTGTTGAACAGACAAGAACTGCTGGTTGCATGGTGTGTTTTGAATGCTGTTATGTTGGTGTGCCTGCTAGTCTTCTTAAAGGTACAGCTCACTCAAAAATAATTCCAACATCGTGCGGTGTGTCCGAAATTGCATACTGAGTAGGTACTATATTTGAATTTGAACTTACTTTGCGATCGTTAAAAAAGTATGTTCTATATAGTATGAATATGGACGGTACGATTGAAATTCGCACATACTTTGTCCGCCATGTTGTTACTGTCATGTGATCTACCAGCATCAGTTGCATTGCTTCACTATCATTCATAAATCCTCTCTCATTGCCTCATAGTATGATAAAATTTCATCGACTGCATACTTCAGAATCCAGGCAGAAGTAGCAGGTCATCCGTGTACTTTTCGCCTATTGTTTTTCGAATACTACGTACTGTATTTGGACACACTACTTTTTTTGGATAGGCTACTGTTTTTCGCATATTACATAGTAGGGAAGTATTTGATTTCGGATGCAGCGAATTATTCACCTTCATGTCATTCCTAACTTGTATGGCTTTCTTTCTTTTACTGAAAATATATCTCTTCAAATAAGTCTCTTTTGCTCACCAAAATTGCATTTGATCAAAAATACAGTAAAACAGTATTATAGTAAAATATTATTAAATTTTTTAAATAACTGTTTCTGTTTTAATAACAATTTTTCAAAATGTAATTTATTTCTGTGATGGCAAAGCTGAATTTTCAGTAGCTATTACTCCAGTCTTCAGTGTTACGTGATCCTTCAAAAATCATTGTTGTCATTCAGAGCAACAGTTTGAAGTTACTTAAAGTTAGTTTAGCAGCCGTTACAGCTAGCTGCTTTGTATATCACTGGGAGTATGCTATTTTGACTTGGACCAGTAAGCATTTACCTAACAAATTAATTGCAGTGCGCTAAAAAAACTGTCCAGCTGCATCTAGGCGGCGATGGGCATAGTTTTTTATGGGCAAGCACCACTCACATTCACGTATGTTCTTCAGAAAATAAAAAAAATTATAATTTCAAGTTAATTTATCAGTCATAAATTTCACCTCTTTCAGTATTGGCCAGTTAATGCTGTGTTCAAAATAACATCCTGTTTCCTACAAAAGCTACTTTATTTGACAGTTCATAGCAAAGAGTTCTTATAAGCCAAATAGATGTGGACATGCCCGCTCTTCTTTTCTAACCTGGGTGCAGGGTCTGCAGCCTGTCTTCAAACTTTTGCACATATATACACACTTTCACTGTCTATTAACATTTCCATCTGTCTCAAACTTGCACACACTCCCTCCCTCTCTCACACACACACACACACACGTCAGTCCACTCTTCCATCAAATTTACCGCAGGCCTTTTAGTGTGTTGTAGGATATCAGCGCAGTCAGCGGTGCTCTGTTATCCTCACTGCACTTACTGTACATAAAGTGTTCTTCACTGCCTGACCTGGAGGCAGTTTATTCCTTCCCGCATCTAAGTTTCCACTGTTCCACCAAATAAAGTGTAAACTGATATTGTATCAGCAGCCAAAGCACTTTAGTCTCGATCTCAAATCAGTTCTTTAAGCGTCGAATGTATATTTGCATCAGTCTTGGGCTTATTGATCATGCAAGATGGGTCATATAAAGGTGTTATTTGTTATGTGAGACTGTAGATATATGTAAATTAATTACTGAGAGTTTCATTCAAATACTCTGTCTAAGATGGGTTTGGTCAAAGAGGGATTGGCCTGCTGTTCTGTGATCAAGTTTTCCATTTAGGTTGGTTGTGAATATTCGAGACAGATCCTATAGGCTTATTATAGAGGGTTGGCGCCATCTCATCCTCATTCTCAAAACATTATTGCACCATGTGACATCACAAAATAACTAATATGATTCTGATCATTGATCGAATTAGTCACAATGTTCCTGCCAATTGAACGGCTTAAGAGGAAGAGCTGAAAAAGCAGAAGACATTAATGAACGAGTCAGGAGACGAGTTTGCTGCATTCTGTCCAGTCTCGCATAAGTCCATCCATTCTTTCTCTTTTCTTTTAGCTTACGTAGGTGTTTGCTGCATGTGATGGCAGGGCAGTTTTAGGCCTATTGACTGAGCCATTGGCTGGAACTGTATATCATAACCACTAATGAATGAGCTCTTAGCAACATTGGCATCGCTGCATATGCAGGCAACAGTGGAAGGGAGTGAAAAAGTGACAGAAAGAGTGAGATAAACGGCTTCATACTCAATTCAGTGTCATTTCTAAAAAAAAAAATTTAACTACAGATGGACTACAGATCATTTTCTGTCAATACTGAGTGTATATATATAAAATAGGATATATGTTTTTTATATAGATTATATTATTATAAACTAATTATAAAGAAATGTAAATTTACTTTTAAAATTATATAACAGGATGTATATATGTTTGTTTTAAGTGTGTATTTGTTTTCAGTTTTAATAAAATATTTAAATACATTTTAATAAATTAGAAGAGCAGCACCCTGACCAAATATAGCGTGCACACACACACACACTCACATTTAAAGATCAGATGATCAGACCACTGTGTGATGTGAGAACAGAGTAGTGTCTGATCAATTATTTACCTGCGATTGACCTCTTCTCAGAATAATGTGTCTGCTTGTGACTGTACTTTGCTGTAGATAAATGACAAAATGTACCTTTCACAGGACACGTGGAGATGTCCTAATTTGGGCAAAAATTGCTGATACACAAATGGCTTTATACAAATGGAAGAGCAGAATGTAGATTAAATCTGATGTTGTATAAATGGCTTTAATGGCGCACAATAAAATTGCCTCCTTTCTTTCTGTTTTTCCTCCAGTATCCTGTCCTCTATTGGGTCAGAATTAGACCTGCGGACATTGCGAGCAGTCAGAGTGTTGCGGCCGCTAAAATTGGTGTCAGGAATTCCAAGTAAGTGTTCTCTCTGTCTGAGTTTATCAATGTCTGTCAGAGTTCTTTGCACAGTATACAATAGTGCCATTACTCTCCAGGCCTGCAGGTGGTGCTAAAGTCTATTATGAAGGCTATGATTCCACTGCTGCAAATCGGAGTGCTCTTATTTGTGGCCATCCTTATGTTTGCCATCATTGGCCTGGAGTTCTACATGGGCAAATTCCACCGCACCTGTTTCGACAATGTCACAGGTGAGCTTGTCTCAAAGACAAACGAAAAACAGTTGACCCTTTAAAATTGTATGCCTTTTACCAAACCCTGTGCATTTACATAATCCAGGTGAGATGTTTGATGAACAGCCCTGTGGTGAGGAATTTCCCGCTCGAGAGTGTGAGAAAGGGTCGGTGTGTGCTGAATACTGGCTTGGGCCAAACTATGGCATCACACAGTTCGACAACGTCCTTTTTGCCGTGCTCACTGTTTTCCAGTGCATCACCATGGAGGGTTGGACTGACATGCTTTATTATGTGAGATGATTAAACTATGATTAAACTATTCTGTTTTTTTAAATGATTTCTAAAAATGACTTTGATTTTAGATGATAATGTTGGGTAAACGTGGGTGTATTACAGAGCAATGATGCCTTAGGGAGTGCCTGGAACTGGATGTACTATGTTCCCCTCATCATCATTGGATCCTTCTTCATGCTAAATCTGGTGTTGGGTGTCCTCTCGGGGTAAGATCTATCTATATTTCTGTCTGTTTCTATCTATCTATCTATCTATCTGTCTATCTGTCTGTCTATAGGGCTGGGCAGTATGAAGGTATATATTGTGACGACGGTATAAAGTGCCTACTGTTAGAGATTTTGCTATATTGTTTTGCGGTATATAAATATATCCACGTAGCACAGTAGCCTACTACTTAAAGTTATATACAAGTTATATACACGTGAGTGTTCGTGCAAGAATGAGAAAATAAAAAGCGGTACTTGTTTGATGTTAGAGTTATTAATGCAATAAGCTGTGAAAGCGAACTCTCTGACAGCATGTAATCACGAATTTAGTTCTCTTTCACATCTTATTGCGCTTTAATAGTCAGATACACACACAATTTTGTCAAAATGCCCGATGTGGGGAGTATTCACATAAACACAGTTCAAATTTGATTAATTCAATGAAGACTATTTAGTGTTTTAGTTATATGCTTGATTTTTGTTGTTGTTGTTGTAGTATTTCTTACTATGTTAAACCAACTGTAGCTGAACATCTTAGTTTATTTAATTTGTATATTTGTTCTATTGTATTTGTCAAATTTTTTTGTAATTTGTAAGTTGAAATAAAATTTCTCATACCGTGAAATAAGATTTTGGTCATATCACCCCACCTATCTATCTATCTATCTATCTATCTATCTATCTATCTATCTATGTCTATCTGTCTATCTATCTGTCTGTCTGTCTGTCTGTCTGTCTATCTAGCTAGCTCGATTCATCCATCCATCATCCGTCTGTCACTATCATTTGTTCCGTCAGTCAATTTATTGATCTCTTCTTCTGTCAGTCATTCTGTCATTATTATATGGTTTTGTTGATTATTTTATCTGTCGCTCTATTGGCCGTTCATTGTTTCCTGTTATATCTGTATAGTGTTTATTGTTCTATCCATCTCTCTACCTATTTATTGTTGCATAATTATATCTTTCTCCCTATTGTTGTGTTGTTTCATTTGTTCTCTCTATTGTTTCATCCATCTTTCATTTGTATAAAACAATGTATGTAAATAAGTTTTTGATTAGTAAGTTGCTGACTATACAGGTGTCTTTCTGTCTGCCTGTCTGACAATAGTGCCAATAGTGCCATTACTCTCCAGGTCTGCAGGTGGTGCTGAAGTCTATTATGAAGGCTATGATGCAAATCGGCGTCACAGGTGAGCTTGTCTCAAAGACAAACGAAAAACAGTTGACCCTTTAAAATTGTATGCCTTTTACCAAACCCTGTGCATTTACATAATCCAGGTGAGATGTTTGATGAACAGCCCTGTGGTGAGGAATTTCCCGCTCGAGAGTGTGAGAGAGGGTCCGTGTGTGCTGAATACTGGCTTGGGCCAAACTATGGCATCACACAGTTCGACAACGTCCTTTTTGCCGTGCTCACTGTTTTCCAGTGCATCACCATGGAGGGTTGGACTGACATGCTTTATTATGTGAGATGATTAAACTATGATTAAACTATTCTGTTTTTTTAAATGATTTCTAAAAATGACTTTGATTTTAGATGATAATGTTGGGTAAACGTGGGTGTATTACAGAGCAATGATGCCTTAGGGAGTGCCTGGAACTGGATGTACTATGTTCCCCTCATCATCATTGGATCCTTCTTCATGCTAAATCTGGTGTTGGGTGTCCTCTCGGGGTAAGATCTATCTATATTTCTGTCTGTTTCTATCTATCTATCTATCTATCTGTCTATCTGTCTGTCTATAGGGCTGGGCAGTATGAAGGTATATATTGTGACGACGGTATAAAGTGCCTACTGTTAGAGATTTTGCTATATTGTTTTGCGGTATATAAATATATCCACGTAGCACAGTAGCCTACTACTTAAAGTTATATACAAGTTATATACACGTGAGTGTTCGTGCAAGAATGAGAAAATAAAAAGCGGTACTTGTTTGATGTTAGAGTTATTAATGCAATAAGCTGTGAAAGCGAACTCTCTGACAGCATGTAATCACGAATTTAGTTCTCTTTCACATCTTATTGCGCTTTAATAGTCAGATACACACACAATTTTGTCAAAATGCCCGATGTGGGGAGTATTCACATAAACACAGTTCAAATTTGATTAATTCAATGAAGACTATTTAGTGTTTTAGTTATATGCTTGATTTTTGTTGTTGTTGTTGTAGTATTTCTTACTATGTTAAACCAACTGTAGCTGAACATCTTAGTTTATTTAATTTGTATATTTGTTCTATTGTATTTGTCAAATTTTTTTGTAATTTGTAAGTTGAAATAAAATTTCTCATACCGTGAAATAAGATTTTGGTCATATCACCCCACCTATCTATCTATCTATCTATCTATCTATCTATCTATCTATCTATGTCTATCTGTCTATCTATCTGTCTGTCTGTCTGTCTGTCTGTCTATCTAGCTAGCTCGATTCATCCATCCATCATCCGTCTGTCACTATCATTTGTTCCGTCAGTCAATTTATTGATCTCTTCTTCTGTCAGTCATTCTGTCATTATTATATGGTTTTGTTGATTATTTTATCTGTCGCTCTATTGGCCGTTCATTGTTTCCTGTTATATCTGTATAGTGTTTATTGTTCTATCCATCTCTCTACCTATTTATTGTTGCATAATTATATCTTTCTCCCTATTGTTGTGTTGTTTCATTTGTTCTCTCTATTGTTTCATCCATCTTTCATTTGTATAAAACAATGTATGTAAATAAGTTTTTGATTAGTAAGTTGCTGACTATACAGGTGTCTTTCTGTCTGCCTGTCTGTCTTTATTTGTCTGTCTTACCCCACCACCCCGCCCCCAAGTGAGTTTGCCAAAGAAAGAGAGCGTGTGGAGAACAGGAGTGAGTTCCTCAAGCTCAAACGTCAGCAGCAGATTGAGAGAGAGCTCAACGGATATCTGGAGTGGATCTGCAAAGCAGGTATGTGTGTAAAACACAAACACAAGTATAGATATTAATTCCCTGCAGAATGTAATGACTAGTTTGAACCTGTTGGTGTTAAAATGTAGTCTATCAATCAATCTCTCTCTTGTCACTTTTTACAGAGGAAGTCATACTCGCCGAGGACGATGATGGCACCGGTAACAGTATAAATGTTCCTGTTTGGTGCTGATTACTGCCTAAAATGCAGTAATCATTCACAGTGAATGTGTTTGTGTGCAGGATCTCGTCGTAGGCCCACCATAAAGAAAAACAAAGCTGACCTGTTAAATCCAGAAGAGGGAGAGGACCACATGGGAGACGCAGTTGGTAAGAACCATTCAGATCCTAAGGAAGACAACTCGTTTGATGAATTAAAATCTTTCTGTCTTTTGAAACACATAGTGGCTTATTCTTGAAGATCCTATAGTATTCATGCCAGATGTTGTGCTGCTATGTGTGTATATTCTTAGGCTCGCCTTTTGCTCGTGGGAGCATAAAGAGCGGAAAGGGCGATGGGACCGGATTTAGCAAGAAAGAGCGACGTCTTCGCTTCATCATTCGAAAGATTGTAAAGACTCAGGCGTTCTACTGGACTGTCCTCAGCCTGGTGGGACTCAACACACTGTGCGTGGCTGTAGTACACTACGATCAGCCCGAGCTACTGTCGGACTTCCTCTGTGAGTTAACCTAAGCTGTTTGTTTTTACATTTGTTGTTGTGGGAGACATAATTTCGAATCTGGTCTGCATCCTGTCCCATTCTCCATTTGCAAATAGTTTTTTGGATTTTTCTACTTCTGCTGTCAGTAAACACCCTCCTGCCTCGCTTCTGTTTTCTTTTCTTCCACTTTATATGTCTTGTCTCTCTTTCTCTTTTTCTCCAGATTATGCTGAGTTCATTTTCCTAGGCCTCTTTATGTCAGAGATGCTACGTCAGCAGCAGATTGAGAGAGAGCTCAACGGATATCTGGAGTGGATCTGCAAAGCAGGTATGTGTGTAAAACACAAACACAAGTATAGATATTAATTCCCTGCAGAATGTAATGACTAGTTTGAACCTGTTGGTGTTAAAATGTAGTCTATCAATCAATCTCTCTCTTGTCACTTTTTACAGAGGAAGTCATACTCGCCGAGGACGATGATGGCACCGGTAACAGTATAAATGTTCCTGTTTGGTGCTGATTACTGCCTAAAATGCAGTAATCATTCACAGTGAATGTGTTTGTGTGCAGGATCTCGTCGTAGGCCCACCATAAAGAAAAACAAAGCTGACCTGTTAAATCCAGAAGAGGGAGAGGACCACATGGGAGACGCAGTTGGTAAGAACCATTCAGATCCTAAGGAAGACAACTCGTTTGATGAATTAAAATCTTTCTGTCTTTTGAAACACATAGTGGCTTATTCTTGAAGATCCTATAGTATTCATGCCAGATGTTGTGCTGCTATGTGTGTATATTCTTAGGCTCGCCTTTTGCTCGTGGGAGCATAAAGAGCGGAAAGGGCGATGGGACCGGATTTAGCAAGAAAGAGCGACGTCTTCGCTTCATCATTCGAAAGATTGTAAAGACTCAGGCGTTCTACTGGACTGTCCTCAGCCTGGTGGGACTCAACACACTGTGCGTGGCTGTAGTACACTACGATCAGCCCGAGCTACTGTCGGACTTCCTCTGTGAGTTAACCTAAGCTGTTTGTTTTTACATTTGTTGTTGTGGGAGACATAATTTCGAATCTGGTCTGCATCCTGTCCCATTCTCCATTTGCAAATAGTTTTTTGGATTTTTCTACTTCTGCTGTCAGTAAACACCCTCCTGCCTCGCTTCTGTTTTCTTTTCTTCCACTTTATATGTCTTGTCTCTCTTTCTCTTTTTCTCCAGATTATGCTGAGTTCATTTTCCTAGGCCTCTTTATGTCAGAGATGCTGATTAAGATGTACGGACTGGGGACGCGCCCTTATTTCCACTCCTCATTCAACTGTTTCGACTGTGCAGTGAGTGCCCTTCTCTCTTTTGGCCCATTTAAAGTCTCACTTTCTCTCTCTCTCTTTTGCTTTTTTTACTCTGCCTCTGTTTTTAACCTCTGCAAGCCGCTGACCTACATTAGATGCAGACTTAAGTCCTTGTTAGCCAGTCCTCAGAGTGTTCCTTATTTGTTTTGGGATTTGGCTGTGTGTGTGTTTCAGGTCATCGTTGGCAGCATATTTGAGGTGGTCTGGGCCATGGTGAAGCCGGGGGCGTCCTTTGGAATCAGTGTGTTGCGAGCTCTCCGACTACTTAGGATCTTCAAAGTCACCAAGTGCGTTTAATTTAATATCTGCATCGTCATCACAAAGTTTTGTCAGTTTTTGTGTTGTCCTCCTTTTGGGATCAATGAGATTACAATGCTGATTTTTAGTGGGGCTTGTTTAGATTAAAAGAACAGTTCAAACAAAAATTAATTTCTCAACCTCACATCATTCCATACTTGTGGAAAAAAATGTTATACACAATGTTCATGCTGCTCTTTTCCATAGTGAAAGTCAATGGAGACTGGGGCTGTCAAGCTCTAAAAATAACAAAAAACATAATGAAGCAGTAGTCCAAAAATTATATTTCATGTCTTCTAAAGCCATACGATAGGTTTGTGTGAAGAAAAATCTGAAAATCTAAGCAATGTGCTCTCATTTTTCATTTTCATTTTTGTGTACCATTTGTATAAAAATGCCACAATTTTAGTGTTTTTAATACTAGGTTTCTTTCTGTCTTTTTCAGATACTGGGCGTCTTTGCGTAATCTAGTAGTGTCTCTTCTAAGCTCCATGAAGTCCATCATCAGTTTACTTTTCCTTCTCTTCCTCTTCATCGTGGTCTTTGCTCTTCTCGGGATGCAGCTGTTCGGTGGACAGTCAGTATAGATCTACACCCGGCTGCCAACACCTTACTTAATATCTCAGTTAGATACAGATGACCAATAACTATGCATAGCATGTTATTGTTGTAAAAGGCCATTTGATGTTTTCTTTTTTTACAGGTTTAACTTTGAGCTAGGCACTCCTCCAACAAACTTCGATACTTTTCCTGCTGCCATAATGACAGTGTTTCAGGTAGGCTGGTTATGTTGGTTTAGCAGTAGATCTGTTCTAAAAACCAAGTGAGCTGCCTGCATAGACAGTATTTTAGGGCATATACAGATAAAGAAAACAGCTTATTCTACTTAAATGAGCTTGTGTGTGCGGATCAAATATGCATGCAGTTCTGTTTTGTGTGTTAAAATAGACTGTGTATTTCTCAGATTCTAACCGGAGAGGATTGGAACGTAGTGATGTATGACGGCATTAAGTCTCAGGGAGGGGTGGACAAAGGAATGGTCTTCTCCATATTCTTCATTGTCCTTACACTCTTTGGCAACTGTATCCTTCTTAACCACACAGAAACATACAAGTATTTTCATTACTATAAATGCTACTGCATTTATTTGATTATAAATTCAGTAAAACAGTCATTTTTAAGGATTATTACAATTTAAAATATCAGTTTTCTATTTTAAAATATTTCAAAATTCTGAGATGGCAAAGCTAGCCATTACTCCAGTCTTCAGTGTCACATAATCCTTCAGAAATTATTCTAATATGCTGATTTGGGGCAAAAAAAAACCATTCATTTATTATCAACATTCATCAATGCTGCTTAATATTTTTGTGGAAGTTGTGATGCATTTTTTTTCAGGATTCTTTGATGAATAGAAAGTACAAAGGATTTCTTTGAAATATAATTTTTACACACTTTGTAACAAGGTAAAAGTATTCACTGTCACTTTTGATCAAGTTAATGCGTCCTTGTTCAATATTAGTATTAATTTCTTTAAAAAAAAAAAAAAAAAAAGTGTGGGGAAAAGATTAACACATTATTTCTTCTAAATATACTTGCGCTTTTCTTTACCTACATGAAGTTGTGTAATGATGAATTTGTCACTGCATGTTAATAACAAGCACACTTTGTACTATTCATTTTCAACTACATTTGAATGTGATTTGAGAGATCCAGTCATGTTTATTTAGCGCTGTCCACTCATGATGGGGTCACAGTAAGACACACATTATAAAACACAAGCATTGTCTTTCTAAAATTTTTCTTAACTATAACCTCTCAGACACACTACTGAATGTGTTCTTGGCTATCGCTGTGGACAACCTGGCCAATGCTCAGGAACTAACTAAGGTTAAACAGTTTCTCTGTCTCATGTAAATTTCATGCAATTTTAAAAAATTTTTATGCCCAGCAATGGTTAGCGGCTGTCACTGCTGTATGTTTTTTTGATTTATAGGATGAACAGGAGGAAGAGGAGGCCACAACACAAAAGATTGCTCTCCAGAAAGCAAAAGAAGTGGCGGAAGTGAGCCCACTGTCTGCTGCCAACCTATCTATTGCTGCGTGAGTTACTCTGCACGCTAACAATCAGCACCTTTACCACCTTCGAGCCACTAGCGCCAGTTTTTTGCCCAAAAGTAATAGCTTGTTCAGAAACACACGTACCATAGCAATGAAGCCATACCCAGTTTTTCATAAATATTCACTATCAAAAAGTGAAATTCTTGCAAGACACCTCTGACACTCAGGGACATGTAAATACCATGAATATGCATATATATGCAAATGAGCCCTAATACCTGAAACAGACATAATATAGTTCACACTTTAACTTTTTTATTGTAAGAGGCCATGTCTTATGTCACATAAATTTGATTTGGTACCATAGCTGGTTTAAATACGTCTTGCCTAGCTTAGCTGAGTTTAGCATAGTCTGTCAGCTTAACTTTATAATCGTATTTAAGTAAATCCACTTTAATTCACTTTTCAGCAGACTTGCTTAAACCTGCCTGATCATACAGTATGTAACCCCCTTAGGACCATTTCTATTTCTGTTGTTAAAGGGATAGTTCACTCAAAAATGAAAACAACATACTTTGTTTTTCCAGATCCATATGATTTTATTTTCTTGCTAAGAATGCAAAAATAGGTATTTTGCAGGACTAAGCAGCTCTTTTCCTTACAGTTGTAAAGCACACAGCAAACAGGTGCTGTCAAACCCCAAAAAAAGACCAAAAAGTACCATAAAAATACCATGAAAATTAGTGTTTTAAAGGCGTGAGGTAAATTTGAAGTTGAACTACGGTTGAATGTGTGGTATCTGTATGCCATTTGTGGTTTTGTATGTGATGCAATAAGGCATTTGATTCCTCATTTAATTCATCATTCTGTTACAAGAATTGGTCAGTAATGTTTTTATTTTGTTGTGTATGTATGTATATTACAATCCGCTAATACTTACACTGTGACCTAACCAGGCATAATGCAGCGATTTTCCAGCAATACATTTCATCTTTCAATTCTGAAAGCAAAAATGTACCACAATCAAGCAGAATATATTTGATGTCAAACACACCTGCCCCCTCAGTCAAGATGAATGTGAAAACTATAAAAAAAAGAATTAAAAAAAAGAATCACAGTTTCCAAGTGCATTGGCTTTCAAGCAGTGATATTAGGTTACTATAGCAAGATTTTAGTTAAGGAGAGTCTGTTTCAGAAAGTCTCATTTTAAGTGGCACATTTGACACATTAAGCTGTGTTACGTTGAACTTCCCATGCCACGAATAATGCAGCTCCACTGAGTATGATTTTTTTTTTAAATACATGTTTAGAGGTCTAGATAATTGGTTGTAATTTTAACTGTTTAGATTATTTCACTGAATTGTTATTGTTTATCGTCAGTTTAGGCTGTTATAACTTAAAATGATGCATCTGTTAAATGGGCCGAATCTATGCATATAAGCCGTATTTATATCTGGTGGTCTAAAATGTGTTTATTTCATGGATATCCAGTCTAATTTTCAAATATATTGGCCTGGGCAATTTTTGTTTTATGTTGTAGTAACATTATTCAGAGCTCTACTATCTGTAAGTTACTCAGTAGCTTTAGTTTTTAGTTTAGTTTTATAGTTGTAGAAATAATAGGTTTGTTTACCTCACAAATGGTGAATGAGCCACTTCACGTATAGCTGGGGATTTTACTGTTGTCACTTTATTTACTCTGGTTAGGACATGGTGTTAGACATTTATAGTAAAGATGTGTAGTGAATAAACAAAATCTGGTAGTTACATGGTTAGTCAAGTTTTGGGATAACTTGGCACAAACCCGGAATTTGGTTAGTCTGCCAGCAAGTAGGTTTAAGAAGTGAAATATTTCACCCGGAAGCTTGTTTTGAAAAGCAAAGTTATCCAGTTAATTCCAAGTCATCCATAAACTTATCTGACTGACCAAGCGAGTCGCTATCAGTGAACGGGACACCTGTTCACTTTGTCAGTTGTTTTCTGTGATAGTTGTGGCAGCGTTGTTTTTATGTTCCTTATTTCACCCCCCTCTCCTCAGAGTTACAGTAAAATCTGAACGTATCGATGCCACAGACAGTTTACTGGACTGGTATTTATTCATTTACTTACTCATTTTTTTCGTTCTGTATCCCTATTTCTTTTGCTTTCTGCCTTCCTCATGTTTTTGTATGAGTGTTTTTATGTTTCCAGCTGCTGTAGCTGCAGTTTTATGTTGTAACACTGAGGCTGAGGTATCATTGGCTGTGATGACACACACTGTCTCTTCCACAGCAGCACTGCAAGCACAGGGCTGCTTGTTTCGCTGTTTTGGTCTTAAACCATCTCTGTCTTCCTCTCTTCCTATCTGTCTGTCTGAACATTTCTCAGTGCTTTTGTTCAGTATGTCATCACTCCTTTCACAGAATTCATGAGCCACATCCATGTTCTCTTGCTGGGGACTAAGGGACACTATCATTTCCTTTCACTTTGGGCCATCGCTCATAGATGCTTTAGGGGAGGAAAAGCAAGGCTTTTCTTTGTCCCTGGGTTAAAATTGTTCTCTGTTTCTGTCTCTCTGTATTTCTTTACTCTGTAGTAAAGAGCAGCAGAAGAACTCAAAGGTTTCCAAGTCAGTGTGGGAGCAGCGCACAAGTGAGATCCGCAGACAGAACCTGATGACCAGCAGAGAGGCGCTTTACAATGAACTTGATGCAGAAGATCACTGGAAGGTCAGAGACATATCTTAGATCACAAATGAAGAGGGACAATGTTGTATTTCCTGTGTAGAGCACTATTTTACTGAAAACTATAATACTAACAGTAAAGAGCAACTAAATATTAAGACATAAAAAAATCAACAAACAAAAGACCTTCACCCACATCAAAAGTACAAAATTATTATTTGTTACATTTTCGTGTACTGAAGTCATGTATTTTCATGACTTCTACATTATTGCAAATAAACGCTGTTCTTTTGATCTTTTTATTCATCAAAGAATCCTGAGGAAAAAAATTATCACCGTTTCCACAAAATTGTTTAAGCAGCACACCCATTTTTAAAATGATAGGAAATAATACTAAATAATAAGAAAAAAATTATTGTATATTAGAATAATTTCTGAAAGATGATGTGACACTGAAGTTATGGAGTAATGGCTGCTGAAATTCCAGATTTGCCATCACAAGAATAAATTACATTTTGAAATATAATTTTAAAATAAAAATAAAAAACGTTTTTTTAATTTGTAATGATATTTCATAATATTACTGTTTTACAGTCATAAATGCAGCCTTGGTGAGCATACTTTTTTCGAGAAACCAAAAAAAGCAATTGCTGAATTTGAAAAGATTTGTTTGTTTTAGTTTTTTTTTTTCATTCAGACAAAATAATATACAATTTTAATAACTTTATGTAAATAATTTTCATATCAACCATAATTTTTTATCTCAGTGCTTTCCCAGTTTACAAAAAGCAGGTTTGCATCAAAGTATGTTTTATTTACTGTTAAGCCTAGATGTATTGACCAAATCTGCTTTTTCTGTTTTTAGATGAACTACCACAACCGTCCTGACATGAAGACCCACTTGGACCGCCCACTAGTAGTTAATCCTCAGGAGAACCGCAACAACAATACCAACAAGCCCCGACCGGGTGAACCAAACCCCCAGGAGCTAAACCAGCAGCGGGGTGAAGAATACCTGCAGCACCAGTCCCGATACCACCACCATCACAGTCATCATCATCACCAACACCACCACCACTCCAGCCGCCAGTCCCTACACCACCCAGAGCTGGGGGAGGCAGGCTGCGATTGTGCCCAGAAAGGAGGCGAGGACATGGAGTGCGCAGGGGAGCACAGGCGACCCCGACACCACCAGCACAGAAGAAAGGACGAGGATGGAGGGAGAAGACACAGAGAACACCACAGCAGAGGGGAGACAGGAGGAGAAGGGGAGGAGGGCCAAGAGAAGAGGCAGAGGAGGCATCGCCATGGAAACCATGGGGATGGAGATGGAAGGAGGGATAGAGAACGGAGTCGACAGCATCGAGCTAGAAAGTGAGTGTTCTGTGTTTCTTCAAAACTGTGCAGGGACTTAAAGAACTGAGGTGAATGGGTGAATCGTTTATTTGATCAGTGAATCATTTACATGAATCTTCTAAATTAATCGACCCACTGATTTTTTTTTACATTAATAGTGTTGCTACATTCAGTTCCTGATCCAAACATTCTCAGAAGAATCAGGGTTATTATCATTAGCTGAAACTAAAACCATAAAAAAAACGTGACATAAAACAATTTTATTTCAGTTAGTTGCCAAGTTTTCATTGATGTACTAATATATAATGTATAACAAACTAAAATAGAACAGACATTTACATTTATTTAAATAAACGACAAAATGACTGAACATTTAACTAAAATTAAAATAAAAACAAAAATTTAAAACATAAATACTAATTCACAATATTAATACTATAAAATTATTTTACTAAAAAATGTGGCTTGATACAGCTTACTGTAACTGTTGTTTCAGCTGTTAACCTCTTACCTCTTTTTTTTATGTTTAGAGAGGGTAGTTTATCAACAGCTCGTCCAATTCAGCCAGGTCTTCCTCATGCAGAGAGCCAGTACAGCGAGGATCTGGACAACCTGCGAAATAGCAGCAAGATGGCCATCCACGACCCTGACCCCGACTTTTATGACCCCTACTGTGACCCAGAGCAGGCCAATAACCTGCTGAACCTGCGTGGACCAGATTTCCATGACAGCAGTCTCATTCTGACTGACTGCACCAAAACCCCCAGCAAACTTGACCACACTGCCATAGATATGCCCCCGATTTACCCCTCATTCAATGCCAAACTGCAAGGTGAGGGACAAATATGTACATGTGTGATTACAGATAATTCTAGGAGCTTTTAATGGCATTATTCACCCAAAATACTTATAGACAATAGAAATGTATTCATTCTCATGTTTAGCATATACGCTAAAAATGGATGGTGCGCATACAGTATGCGACTACTATTCTGGTGACTAAATTTGCGTCACACGCACTGTATGCACACCCTCACGTACGTGTAATAACCGAAGTATACTTTGGCCTTACAATGCATTTATGCGTGTTTGACTGTAAAAGCAAATGTTGTACTGTTTGATATTTGATTACGTTTGTGGACTTCTGTGCACTTCCTTCTTCCCACGTTCCCTTCATTGTGCAGTGAACAAGAATGCCAACACAGAGCCAGCTAAAGAAGGAGAGAAGAAAGAGGAGGAGGAAGACAATGGTGGCGATGAAGATGGCCCCAAACCCATTCCTCCGTTCAGTTCCTGTTTCATCCTATCCACAACCAACCCGTAAGTGTGTGTTCATCTGTATAAGTGCATGTGTGCAAAGTAAATGTATTTATCTGAACCAATGTGAGTTTTCAGGTTTCGAAGATGTTGTCATTACATCCTGACGCTACGTTATTTCGAGATGTGTATTCTGTCAGTCATCGCTATGAGCAGCATTGCTTTAGCTGCGGAAGATCCGGTGTGGCCGGAATCACCTCGAAACAACGTAAGACTACTGTTCTCAAGTAATTTTAATGGATTTGCATAACGTGAAACTAAAAAAAATCTGACGCCGGACTTCTTGATGCATGTTCTTCCTGTTTTCCAGGTATTGCGTTACTTTGACTACGTCTTCACTGGTGTGTTCACCTTTGAGATGCTCATCAAGGTAAAGATTGCAGGAAATGACTTGTGTGGTTGCGTTTTAGCGTATCATTTTCTTTATTTGCTTTAATCCTCTGCTCTGTGTTCCAGATGGTGGTGTTAGGCTTGGTTTTGCATGAGGGCTCATATTTTCGTGACTTGTGGAACTTTCTGGACTTTGTAGTGGTTAGTGGTGCCCTGGTAGCCTTTGCCTTCACGTAAGTGCCCTTTATCCCACCATTTCCTGCCCAGAAGTGCTGCCTGCTGCCCCTTATCGTCTCTTCTGCCACCTTGTTACCCCACTGCCAACCTGGAGCCTCACCAGTACTCTCTACCCCTTTCTCTCTTGGTCTCTTCCTCTTTTCTTCTCCTGTCAGCACTGTGTGCCCTTCTTCTAAGCTCTCTATCTCTATTTTTTGTCACTTTGCATTCTGTCTCACTCAATCAGCCACAAAGATGAAGGCCTTTCTCACTTTGCACACACTCACACAAACACACACATCAAACTTTCTGTCAGCACCAGCCTGTCTGTTTCTATTCTCTCTCTGACCAATCAACTCCCCCAGCTTTCTTCTTGATAACGCCTCTATTTCTTTCCCATCCAACTCCTGCCATTAGCTATGTTTCCATCCAAAGATTCGAATTAAACTTATGCACAAAACTGGAATATCACATAAAACATATTCGAATAAAGCACCGTTTCCATCCAACGAGTCAAAAGAGAACAAAATAGTCACTTCCTGGTAAACTGTGGCACTAAATATCACTAAGAATATAGGAGAAGCCACTGAATATAATAATTTTCATATATGATATAAATTACTTGCACCTCAGTGTGAGCAGAGAATAAATGCTGTCAATGCTTTCGGAGGTGGATGCTGCTGTTTGGGAACGCAGTCATGTAAGACAATTATACAGAAATACTTTGATGACAGACTTTGCTCAGGCATTTCAGAATGACCATAACAATATATAGATGCTGTGAATGAGATCGGTCCGCTGCTAGTCAAGTTATCCCGTCTCATAGCACATGACTTTTTCGATGCGCGTGGAGGAATTTATTCGGTAAATGTGTTTCCATCGTAGTTTATGCGCATTTTTTCTTACCGGATAAAAAGTTTATCCTACTCAAATGTGCGCATACGTTTTTCTTGGCTTATCTTGGCATTTCCATCCAGCGTTTTTTTTATACGATATTCCAAAATGTGCATAAAAATAGGTGGATGGAAACGCATCTTGTATTTTATCTCATGCTCAGTCCTTCTTTGTGCTAAACAGTTTGTCAAAGCACCTTTCCTTTCATTCTTTACCCATGATTTCCATCAATACATGAACTCTTTCAGTATTTCTCTGAAACAATAAAACCAACAAAAGCACAAATGGAATCTTAGTGATATATCAATTGTCTTTCCTAGGCAGAAATGGGATAACAAATGGAGAATGCTGCTCAAATCTCAGATTTGTGTCTCAGATTTATGACTAAAAGACCACTAATCTCACATATCATTTTCTGAAGAAATCTTAACATTGTCGCAAGCTGTGCTTAGTTTTCACATGATATCACAGTTCAAGATTTCAATACCATCTCAAATATTTCAAATTCTCATAAAATTCTTCCAAGGCCAAATTATTTGAGCTATAACATCGACATATATTTTATCGCACATTAATTTTATATGTGAGTAATTTTCTTATTTGTGTCTATTTTTAATTTCTCCAAAGGAAATTCGGGAGAAGTATATAAGAAAATCTAATCTAAATCCAATCTACTTTTACTACTTAATCAATTTATTTATTTATTTGATTTTTTTTTTTTTTTAGAAATTCCATGACACCTAATGTGTAAACTACTTTTAAATAAATCTGGTCTACTTTTACTAATAAGTCTATTTTATTTATTTTAATTTTTTTGAAACTCTACCGATGCACAAAATTTGAAACAAAAAAAACGTTTACTAATACATTTATTTATTTAGTAGAATGTTAGTTAGTTAGTTTTAGTTGAATTTTTAATTAAAAAAACGTTTATAATAATCTCTAAAAGTGGTTAAACAAGCAAATATTTGATTTGTTGGAGTGTCAGGGCTCTTTTCCATCTGTCATTACTCCACCAACCAAATGTTCACCATAAACCTGTCCCCTCATACTTTCCCTCTGCTGAAAAGGGTAGTTTTGAGCCCTTTGGGGCCCTGTGGGGGGTGAGGGGTCTCCAGGCACCTGTAGCCCTTTAGTGCCCAGGCGGTTTCTATGTCTGGATCAGCGTGAGCCCGTCCTGCCACAGGTACTCTGGTTTATTTCCTTTGCATGGCCTGGGGGAGCAGCAGCTTGGGGATATGAAGAGGCCGCTTGAGGAATAAAGCTGAACCCTAGAGCGGGACGATCAGCTAGTCACTAAAAAAGGAGAACGAGTAAACACCGCTGATGAGGCTCTGAGTGTGGAATGATTTTTACTTTTGTTTAGCCCTGCATGTATGATCTAGTACATCCTCCTCAGTCCCGTAGGCCAGATTACATATATGTGTATATACAAGACACGTTTTTCATACTGTATGTGGGGATTGCAGAGTGTCTTAAATGACATACTGTAACACTTGTGGCATTAAAAGTGCCTGCACACTTCTAAATAAGGGATTAGAATGTATGTATGCTGATATTAATATTTAGTGGCATTATTTAAAAAAAAAAATTGATTTAGGTAAATAAATATATCATGAACAGTTTCAGAACTGTTACGATTTTACGTATGCATTATGCAATTTCTCGAGCTTGCTTTACCTTAAAGGCAATCCACTTGCAAGTTACTGAATGTAATATATTATTACTATGATTATTATTATTATATGATACATTTTTAACTTTTTGCATTTCTATCTAACCAGTAACCTTGTCTTAAGCTGTCATTTGCTTCACTGTTTGTCAAAATGTTTTGTCTTTAACACTTTGCTATCCAAACTCCTTTAAAAGCAACATTGACTTTGGAGACTGAGGAATGTGGCCATGATTATTTACATCAGTCAAACTATCATCATGCATAGAGTGGCCGCAAATCAAATATTTGAAGCTAATTATTGTATTTTTAAACAATATATTAATATATACATTACTGTTCAAAAGTTTGGGATCAGTTTATTTTAAGAAATTCGTATTTTTATTCAACACGGAAGCATTAAATAGATCACAAATTACAGTAAAGACATTTATAATGTTACAAAATATTTCTGTTTCAAATAAATGCTGTTCTGTAGAACTTTTATTCATCAAATAATGCTGAAAATCCGGTTTATTTTAAATTGTATATAATTATTGCATTTTAATCAAATCAATGCAGGCTTGTTGAGCTTAATAGATTTCTTTCCAAAACATTTAAAAATGTGACATTCTCCAACTTTTTGAACAGTATTGTATTTATTTTATTTAATAAATTCATTCATATTATTTATTGATATAAGACACTAATGATTTGATAAGTTTTGGTCAAACTTTTTTCTGTACTTATTGAAATATTAGCAAAAAGAAGCCACATAGTATGCTGATATGAATGACTATGTGTTAGCTGAATGCCTGTAGTGAAACCTATCAGCTTGTATCTTCACATACACATGGCCCGATAGGTTTAAACCCTGCTTTGAGTTAAAATCACTCCATACGCAGTGCCCAATTTTCATCCCCATCCCCTGACCTGAAACTAAATGAAGCCTCTCCACCATATCAACCCTATTTCTGTCCTGTGTCACTTCCTGTTCTCATTCCTAAAAACAGTTCTTCCCCATCCTATCCCCTTCACCTTTCCTTTCCTCATCTTTCCTCTCCTCTCCTCTCCCTCCCTCAGCAGTAAGCTTCCTTGGACAGACTCCAGCTGTCAAGCTGTTTATCATTTGGGCCTCCATTTGTTGAGTCTGACAAAGTGAGTGAAAAAGAGAGACCACAAGAGATGTGGAGAGATAGAGAGAACGAGATATAGAAGGATATGTTAAGGAAAATGGAATACAAGAAAAGAGGACTCCAGGTTGACAGTTCCTTATTAACTGGTGTTTTTGAAGTTCGTTCATCTGTTGTCCTTCATCTGTTGTTGTTTATCTCATTCTCTCTCTCGCACTCACACACACATGAAATGAAGGTTGTGCCCTTTCATTATTACATGTGATTATTTACTCACTGCCATATTGTTTCAAACCTGTACATTTTTTAAAGTCTTCATTTTGTCACATGCTAAAACTAACAATATGCAGGTTTGATACAACATGAAAGTGAATTTATTTTTGGGTGAACAATTTTTATTCTCTCCACTGCCTGATGCTTTCTAAATGGATGCATTCTGGGTATAGGCATGGTCATGTGACACGCAAGCATCTCAGATTACCCAGAATACCTTGGTTAGGTGGAGAAAAGGCTTGCTCATGTATTACAGTTTCACAATAAGAACAAAACGACTCAACAAATGATCATGCTTTTGCCACCTTCATTCTTAGAATGCGGTTAATACAAATACCTGAGAAGCATGTAATCCCATAAACGCTATAGATTTGGGTTGTATGCGTGGGGTTGTGGACTGTATGTGCTGCTTGATAGTTACTCAAATACCATCCCACACTGCCACCTTGAGGCGACTGCAGTGTGGTGGCCATTTTGGCTCCACTGCAGTCAGTTATGGATTCCACCTCCATTCCGGCTCGAGTGTCTGATACAGTGTGCTAAGGTGTCGAGAATCTCCCCCGCTTTCAGAGTTGGCATGGCAGAGGGAGGATTCTCCTCTACTGCAGTGGGTTGTCCTAATCTATAAGTGTGACAAGTTTGAATCCTCGGTTATTGACTGGGTATAGGCCAAGAGTAAAGACCTGCCAAATACCTGGCAGGCATTAGTGTATGAGAATGATTCTGTCATGAGAGTCAATATGAAAAAGAGCAGCAGACTCAGGTGTACGTGTGTAGCAATTGCGAGCATGAGTTAATCACTAATAAAGCAGCTAAATTTGATCAACAGATCAGCACATTTTGATTTTATTTCTCTTAACTATATAAATTTAACAGGGTATTTAATATTGTGTATATAATCATTTATATACATTTAACAGCATATATTATGTATATTATGTGTAATATAATTTATGAAGTATATATACACTACTGTTCAGAATTTTTTTTTTTTTTTTTTGAATAAAAACCTAAAAAAAGCTATTGCTAAAAA